GATAAGTGGTTTGGTCTATCTCTGTATCAGAGAGGAAGGCTGTCAAGGGTATGGGTAGGCAGTTGAGTCTGTGCAGCTTCTGTGTGAGAGTCCTGCCTAACAGCTGCTCTGGCCTCTGCTCTACCCTGTCAGTTCCCTGGTTTTGCATAACATCGTTCGAAGCATCTTCGACGCGATTGTGGAGCAGGCTCCGTTTGCCATTGAAGACCTAATGAATGAGCTGGACGCACAAGGGGAAGAGGTGGAGATGTCAGTGGGTGATGACGATGATGAGGTGTTAGACAGTGATGACGAGTCCTTGGAGGGAGGTGAAGTGGAACAAGACCTGCCGTCCAAGAAGCCGCCCAAAGGTGGGGATCTCAGTACATCTGGCTCTGGGGTCAACTTGCCACCCCCAGGTGCCTGTCCTGGGCTGAACCAGCAGGATCTCTTGCTGGATCACTCCAGTCACCTCCTGACTGGTCCCCTTGTTTCTACCCTCACCCCTGAAGTCCATTCTCAGCACAGGAGTCCGAGGGACCGTTAAAAACACAAGATACTGGGTCAGCCCTGTAGCCTGTGGTTAAGGGAGCTGGATCCCACATGGCCAACTGCAGCTTGTGTCCCAGCCCTGGCTGCTGGGAAAACAATCCAGGCACATATGCGTGTGTGCTCCAAATCCCGACTGAATGGAAGAATAGAGGAGAATAGACTGATACGACCAGGCTCCACGTGTGGGGATGCTTTTCCTACCTCTCTATCTCTATGTCTCTCTCTGGCAAGGACGTGTGCCCTCTGGCTATTAAAAAATACACAAAGCACAGATTTCACCCCAGCCTTTGGCATGCTTGTGGCACTCTGGTACTCTTGGGACCCTCTGTGCTAACTGCTGGGTCCCCGCATGTGCTCCTGCCTCAGGTCTCTGCACCTGTCCCTCCTGGCCGCCCTGACCACCTCACCCGAAGTACAGCCTCCTAGCCTCCACCTCAATTCCCAGGCTGGGTTTCTGCACATCAGGTGTCACCTCTGGCACCTCACTTTAAAGCCAGTTCATTGTGTCCCTGCTTTGAGGGCAGGGATCTCTGTCCATGTTAACAGTGTCTGGGCTGCCACACTGAGTGGCGCCTGATGAATAAAAGTCAGGTGGACAAGCAGACCACATCCCTGAATGGCTGTGGGGGACTCTGGAGTGGGGCCCCTGGTGTCTGGCCCCTACCTCCGGTCCTACTTAGTGTCTTCCTGTCTTGATGGTGTAGTTCCCGGCCTGGCTGTGCTGGGTGTCCTGTACTCTGTCCTTATATCCTATTGCTGTGCATTTTCTTGACCTCATTCACTGCCTTTTCTGGAGTATACCCATCTTTCTTGTTCGTCAGCATATCCTTCCCCCAGCTCGCTCACTCTGGCTATCCTGTGTGTTCCTTACCTGCTTCTCCCACGCCCCTTGCATACGCAGCAGCCGGAGGCACCCCAGGAGTCTCCCAGCCAGCCCATCAGGCAGGCTACACCACTACCACCTCCAGAGCAAACTGGGGACTAGCTGTCTGTGTTCTTGCCCCATGCCGCCCCTCAGTTCTCTGGTGGCAGGCAGTGCAGTCAGAGCCCAAATGCCCAGCCTGGCATCCAGTGCCCGACTGAGGCATGGTCTCTCGTACTGCTGATCCAGACCCACCCATGGCTGGCCCAGCTCCCCTCCTTTCTGACACTGCCATTGCTGCTTAGGATGCCTGCTGCAGGTCACTCTCTGAGGCCTGTGGTGGCACCACCCCCTTCATCAGAGGCCACCCTGTGCCAGAGTCTTCATCTAGCTGTGCCTGCACTCCAACAGGGTGGGAGCAGAGGACGCTCAGATCCTTGCTGTTCTTGTGGGGACCTGGGTCTCTGAGCTCACGGGGTCCCTTTTGTTCTAGGCTCCATCTGTAGGACTGAGCCGAAGCTGGGTGAGCGGCAGGAAGAAGATGACGGGGATGGCACCAGCCTTGTTCTCCAGGTAGGTGAACTGGGGTGAGTGACCTCTGCTTCCTGCTCTGCTGCTGACTGGAAGAGGGGGCGTCATGGAGGAGGAAGGCAGATATCTGACTTGGAGACACCCTCACCAAGGTTAGCTTTGCAGTGTGGATGGACAGCCTGACCCCTGCTGGTCTGTAGGGGAGCTACAGGATGCTGGGACCAGGGCTGGTTGGGCAGTGCAGTCTGGGCTCAGGCACATCCACACTGACCAGGCCTGTGAACTCTCGTTGGGGTACTGGGCTTAAATGAGACATAACGCTGAGTGGCTAGCATTTGGGTCCGAGCTTAGCACCTGGAATGCAGAGTTTCAGGCAAACTGAGATGTAAAGTATCTTTTTAGTGAGTTTTAGGTATTGACTGCCTGTCAAGTTAATCCAGTTTGAATATCTTGTGTTAAGTAAAATGTACCTGGTTAGTTTTGCTTGCTTTCTTCCTACCCGTCTGCTGTGGCTTCTGGAGAGCACAATTACGGGCCAGGCTGGCCTGTGGCTCTCGTTAGCTCCCTACTGGGCTTTGCTGCCCTGGTGTGGGGGCCCACGGTGCGGCCGGCAGCCAGTGTTTTCTGGAGGAATGTTGGGATGTTGTTAGGTGTTCTCGTGGCCCAGGCTGGGCAGAGAATCCACCTGGCGACCGCACACTTGCTATCTGATGTTTTCCATTTTTGAGGAAGGTGGGAGGTTCCTGACTCTTCACCTCTATGTTGTTTCTCTTTTTGAAACAGTTTGACTATGCGGCGGTTGCTAATAGACTATTCAAAATGGCCAGTCAACAGAACACCCCTTCTCAGAACAGGAAGCGTCTCTACAAAGTGATCCGGAAGTGAGTGTCCAAAGGCGGCTGGTGCTATCCTCTCCCACCACCATTTGTTATTCCCAGGGCCTGAGCTCTGCCCTGCTCCCTGTTAGAGTGGCTTCAGCTGGGTGGCAGGTCTTCTTGGGAAGGTATCCCACCAATGGCAGTGTGTTCAGGGTCCCCTGTACCCGCAAGGGAGGTCCTCTGGGTATGGCTTCCCCCGTGGTGGAACTACAGCTGTGGTGAATGCCTGTCTGTCTCGTTCTTTAGGTTGCAGGACCTGGCTGAAGGTGAGCCTTGGCCCCACCACCGAGCATGGCCACCCGGCTTAGGAGGAGTCCATCCTTGGAGTGAATCGATTCCAAGTGTCTCTTCACAGCATAAGCTGTCTCCATGCAAACAGGCTGCTAGCATTTCTGGAGAAGTATAGGGCAGGCCTGAGAGACCCCATAGCTCTTGATTTGATAGATTTTGCTGAGTGGTTCTTAAAGTTGAGCTCCCATCAAGCTCTGGAGGCTGGTGCAGTGGTGCCGCTGCTGGGCTGTCATGTAGCAAACGTCCCTGCCATGTGGCTGTAGCCCAGGGGGCTGGTTAAGCGTCTGAAAGGCAGCTGATTAGGAGGTTTATGCTTGGAAAATGTAGCCTTTGCCCCAACATTGCCTTATGAAAACTTTCAAACATATGGCACAGCGAAAGGCTCTTATGGTGGTGTCTGGACATTCGCCTCATTAATTCTGACTTTAACGCTGTGCTGTTCCTGTTTGAGCACCTGTGCGTCTCTTTCTTTGTCGCACAGACTTGTGTAACCTGAACTTGTCAAGGTACAGAGAACATTACCATTGCCCAGAAAGTTTCCTTGTGCTCCTTTCAGCATAAAAACTTGTAAGAAACAGACCTTGGCAAGTCACAGATCTAAGAACTAGCTTTTTAATATATGATTGGTTCTGAGCTGGGGTGGTGCAGTTAAGCTCATTGATTTTAGCATGGTGGTTTTTATTTATTTATTTATTTATTCATTCATTTATTTTAATTTGACCAGAGAGAGAGAAAGTGAAAGCAAGCTACCAGGTCTAGATTTCAAACCGTGGTTGGCCATGAGGGCGTGTCCAGCACCTTAACCATTGTGCCACCTGCTGGCCCCAAGCATGGTGTTTTTCTGAGCAAGTTGCTCCTGGGTGCCAGGACAGGGTCTCCTCACACACTTTGGGGTCCATGTAAAGCAGCAAACCTCAAAGTACAAGTCCCAGCCCTTCCCTCAGAGCCTCTTGACCGTCTACCCCGGTTCCTAGGCACCTTCCCTGAGGACGATGTTCCAGAAAAGGTTTATGGAAATCTGCTCCAAGGGAGGCAGGAGAGAAAGAAGAAGCGGCGTTCATCTAAGTCACGGTTGCAAAGCAAGAAAGGTAGGACTCCAGGTGTTTATGGCCTGGGAAGGGGCTCTCTGCATGGCTCCTCTGTCTGCCTTGCTCAGGCACTGGGATAGCTGTCTCCCTGTGGCTCCCAGGCATCCAACCTCAGACCCACTTACACCTTTCCCTTCCTCCCTGGGAGTGCCTGCTCTGTGTGTAGCTGGCTCCAGACGGTAGTGACAGCCTCTGGGTTGGGCTGCCTTTTCCTGCCATCCTTCCATCCTTGATCTGGGCGCCACCACTCTTCTGCATGCTCCAGTGATCCCTGAGCTGCACCTCCCATCCTCCCTCCCAGCCATCTATGGCTACACAAGTGTGGTTGGCATGCGACGTCCTCACCTAGGGCTGCCCTGGGCCTGTATGGACCTGGCTCAGGCTCCTGCCTACTGTGGGGTGGGCTGTGCACATCCACCTGGCAGCCCTGTGAATCATCCCAGGCTCAAGTGGCCCCAACTCCTGGGATCTGCCCTTTGCAGGGTCGCTGGATCCTCCTCCTCTTCCTCTGGCTCAGGTCACCTCTCCCTCAGGCCTGTTCCTATTATTTCTCAACCTGGGTGGTGGCTCTCGCCAGCCTGCCCTCTTGGTCTAGGCAGTGCACCCCTGCCAGACTCCATTTTTATGGCTCTCTTGTGCAGTGAGTTAAAACCGCAGACCCTGGCAGTCAGACGGGGTGAGTGCCTGTAGTCTAGCTCTCGGGAGGCCAAGGCTGGAGGGTCACTAACATGAGGCCAGCTGGACAATGTAGCAAGACCCTCTCTGTAAAAATAAAACAGGACACCCTGTGGGCCTGATGTTTGGAGCCTGTCCCTCTGTCCAGTGTCGTCCCTCAGCTCCACACCTTGTCTCTTCCTTCCTTCATGCCATTGCTGCCCATCCTCGGTCCTCCTGGCCGTCTTCACACTGGGCTTTCTGAAGGCCTGACTTCCAGGCCCAGCCTCCCCTAGGTGTGAGCCAGCACAGGTGGCATGAGGAGCTGGTGCCCAATGGACCTGTCTCCCCTGGTTGGCATTGCACTGTGCCGTGTGCCCGGTGCTGGCATGTTCTCTCGCAGAAGAGAAGGAAGCATTCTGTGTGGGGGCAGTGTCTGCTCACGTGGCCTTGTGTTGTCAGGAAAAGGTGAAGAGGAGGACACAAAGCCAGACCCGAGCTCCAGAAAGAAGAGCAAGAGGAAGTGGACCAGGAAGAGGGGCCTGGGGGCTGACTCCGCAGAACCAGCTGACTCCAGTGGGCAGCTGGGCAAGGGCCATGGCCAGAAAGGGGCTCGCTGGGGGAGGAAGAAGCATCCACAGCTGTCTCGTGCCACAGCAAAGCCAAAGAAACAGAAAGGGACTCTGGAGAGCAGGAGGTGACACAGCGGGCCCAGGGCAGGCAGCGAGTTGGCACTCTCCCGAGCTACATAAGGGGACTGCAGCTGGGCTTTCCCACAGCCCTACCTGTGCTGTGACAGACAGGTGAAGTTCCAACTGAGGACTGCCTGTCTTCCTTCCATCGAGGCTGGGCCCCAGCTGAGGGCCGCCACCTGCCTGTGGCATCTGTGGAATAAATGCGATCCTTCCCAAAGCAGCGTTGATGCAGTGTGTTCACAGAGATACGGTGCCTGGACCTGGAATGGCAGGCAGGCTCCGGAGCAGCGCTTGTGCTTCACATCTGTTTTTGTGGGGAAAAACCTGTCTACATGGACCTAAGAAGAAACTGGGCAGTCCCTAGAGCATTAGCAGTGCCTGCTGGGCAGGGCATGTCCTCCCTACCTGGAGTGTTAGGGCGAGTGTGCTCTGTGTGCAGCCCTGCGATGGCAGGCTCTTCCACTTGCCCTCGTGCTCTGACTTGGAGGTGGCATGCCTCCCCTCTCCACTTCAGTCTTTTCAACCATGCCACTCTTCTCAGCAGGCCTAAGGCAGCTGGTCCTGTGCCTTGCTGGACTGGAAGTCATGGAGGAGGCAGCAGGTGGAGTGTACCCCCAGGGGTCTCCCACCTCCACAGAACAGAAGAGTGTACTGCCAGTGGCCACAATGGGCACTGTGCTTGACTTGGTCTACGTCATGTGGTTCACGGGTGCCCAGCCGATCAGACTGTGCTGAGCTTAGGTAGGCAGGAGTCCCAGGGATGGGGTGGGCTCGGGAATGAGGGGCTCAAGGCCTCTGACTGTCATTCTGCTGAGACTGGACTGAACCCAGGTCCCAATGCCCTGCTGCCTTTGAGCTTGTCCTCACCTGGGAGTGTCGAGCAGAAGCTGCAGGTGGTGAGTACTGTCTTTGGAGCCTGAGCTGTGCTCCTGGGACCCAGCTGTTCTGCCCACGGAGTCTGGAGGAAGGGAGTGGCCACCGTCAGCACTGGGTGCAGGTGTTGTGTTTGTTGTAACAATGCCTTGTTGTAGAAGTTTGGGTCAAACGTAAGGAAATGCCATACTATAGAAATTTCTGAAAAGTATCTTGTCGTAATTCTGAAGTCGGGAACCATGATGAATTTTGCTTTCTTTTTAGTTCACAGGAGAGATTTTTCCCAAAGCTGTATCAGAACAATAATTTTTTTCCTCTGGATTTTTTTCTCCTTAATCCAGATAGAGCATGAGCACACATGAGAGAGAGAGAGAGAGAGAGAGAGAGAAAACAAGAGAGAGGAGTGCCCCTGAGTCTGGTAATACTGTGGTCCCCTTCCAGACTTTTAGCCTGTCAGGTCCTGGTCACTTGCATATGTACCCAGAATGCTTCAGGCTGACAGGGCCTGGGATTTGAACTCCGGTTGCCATGTGGGATCCAGCTTTTCTTTTTTCTTTTAAAATTATTTTATTTTATTAATTGATCAGAGAGAGGCAGAGAGAGAGAGAGAGAGAGAGAGAGAGGGAAAATGAGAAAGCAAGCCACCAAGTCTGGGACTCAAACCTTGGTTGGCCATGTGGGAGTCCAGCACCTTAGCCACCGTGACACCTGCTGGCCCCAGATCCAGTTTTTCTTAAGTGGCAATAATTTGCTGTACCATGGAGCCAGCCTCGTTACGTTTTCTTACTATGTTGAGGCCGTGCTGTGTACTCACTTCTGTGTCTTCAGAGCAGTGAGTAGCTTCATCAACACGAGAGAGAGAGAGAGAGAGAGAGAGAGAGAGAGAGAGAGAGGAGTGCCCCTGAGTCTGGTAATACTGTGGTCCCCTTCCAGACTTTTAGCCTGTCAGGTCCTGGTCACTTGCATATGTACCCAGAATGCTTCAGGCTGACAGGGCCTGGGATTTGAACTCCGGTTGCCATGTGGGATCCAGCTTTTCTTTTTTCTTTTAAAATTATTTTATTTTATTAATTGATCAGAGAGAGGCAGAGAGAGAGAGAGAGAGAGAGAGAGGGAAAATGAGAAAGCAAGCCACCAAGTCTGGGACTCAAACCTTGGTTGGCCATGTGGGAGTCCAGCACCTTAGCCACCGTGACACCTGCTGGCCCCAGATCCAGTTTTTCTTAAGTGGCAATAATTTGCTGTACCATGGAGCCAGCCTCGTTACGTTTTCTTACTATGTTGAGGCCGTGCTGTGTACTCACTTCTGTGTCTTCAGAGCAGTGAGTAGCTTCATCATGCTTCTGACAAGTTTCTGACTTGCCCTCCTGTCACTGTACTTGTGGACTCCGCACTGATCGCAACTGCACTTGGAGAAAATTGTGCAACCCTTGGAGAAAATGAAAATGGCTGCCTACATCATACCACGAGTGAGCTTGTGCTTCCATGTTGCTACTGTTTTTATTTTCCTATGCAAACAGCTTTATTGAATACACACCAGGCAGTCCATCCAAAGAACGGGAATTGCAACAGGGTTGTGATGTGGATTGTGCTGCCTTTCCCCCCAAGAAAACCTTAAACTTACAGAAAAGTCACAAATAGAGAGAGGGTTCCTCTCCCTGCCCCAAACCATTTGGGAACATGTACTGACCAGTGCCTGTCACCTCGAGTAGTTCAGGGTGTATTTCTTGCTATCAAGACTTAAACACAACTGTCAAGTCATAAGCATGGCTTCCTCACTGCTATCTATTCGACAGTTCTCAGATTCATTCATGTCCCATTGATTGTCTCTGGTGTCATATATGGCTTCAGGACCAGTTGGAATCTTTGTCATTTCTCCTGGTTCCTTTGAAGATTGCTGCTTGGATGACGGTGCTCACAGACACTGAATTGACACCTGGAGAAATAGGTGTGTGTGTACACACATATCCTAGGGAAATAATGTGTGTGAACACATGAGCACATACATGTTTGCACACTTTACACCTACCCATCCTACCTGCCTTCCATCCACTTGTTAAGAGTTTCTCAGAGCAGTAGAATGTGATCAGTCTGCTCGGGCACCATGACAGTACCACAGACTGGTGGCTTAAACGACAGAATGAATTCTCAGTTCTGAAGGCCAGAATTCTGAAGTCAAGGTGTCAGGGCTGGTTTCTTCCTAGGCGCCTTGGCCTATAGATAGTGCACTCACGTGGCCAAGGTCTCACCTTTATGACCTCTAACCCTAATTACCTCCCTCTAGGCCTATTCTAGTACAGTCATACCGAGGGATGGGGCTTCAGCCTATATGGTGGAGGGTGGGGTGCTGGAGACCCAGAGCATACCCATGTGAAGACCGTCTGGAGGCAGGATCCAGCCTCTTCAGAGGACTTCAGTTTTAACATCTTAAACTGATTGGATGAGGTTCACCATACTATGGTGGGTAGCCTGTGTTACATAGCATCTAATGTAAATGTTAATCTCAACCAAAAAATAACTTACTAGAAGCATAACACCAAACATGAGTGTTAGACTAAAACCTGGGCCTCACAGTCTAGCTAAGCCAACCCCATGGAATTCACCTTCCCACTATTTGTCATCTATCTATAGCTCTCCTCCACCCATGAGGTGCTTCCTGCTCTCTAAGACTCTGGGAGTATTCTGTTTTTTTTTTTTTTTCCCCTCTCCTTTTTTTCCGTTTACATATTTGTACTTTGTCAGTTGAGATCTGGCTATCTGTTATCCTTAGTATATATAATTTCTTTTGGAGAGGTTTTTCACTATGTGGCGTGTACGCTCGCCAGATAGAGACATAGAGACAGAAAGCGAGAAATCACCCCCCAGGGGGGATGGTCACGCCGCAATCCCTTCTCTTCCATTCTCTTGGGATCTTGGGCACGCACACACACACACACACGCCCGGCGTGAGTTTTAAGCCACCGGGTCCGGGACGTGAATCGCAGTCGACTACGTGGGAGTCCAGCGACAGCCATTACGCTAACTGCTGGTTCCCCTTAGTATATTTTTATGTGTGGCCAAGGCCCACCCATCTCATGGCCTCTTCCCTTTGTAAGCTGAGCTCCTTTATTCCAGGCTACTGCTCAGCCAGACGTGTCCACCCTTAGGGACTCCATGTATAGCTCTTCTGCATCCCTGGGTGTGTGATTTGCAAACACCTTCATGTTTGACTTCCTGCCATCATTTATCATGGATCCAAGTGTCCACTCATCTACTTACCTGTTTTCCTACTTACCTGCTGATCTATGTCCATCACCTTTCATCTGTTTTCTCCATCTACCTAGATTCGTATCATCTATCCTTCATTTCTATCATACCAGTCATCTATATTACTGATCCACCTACCCATCCAGATACCTAGTTATGACCTTGGAGAACAGATGATTGAAGAACCATGGTAATTCTGGCTGCACTCCTATTTATGGTGTCACGCCCATGGTGACATCTCCCCAACAAATGGCACTCCCCATAAAGCCCTTTCATTTGCATGGAGCTCTGGCCCCTCACTGAGCAACAGGCAGGGAAAGGAAGCTGAGGGGCCTTACCAGCCCCTGTAGGGCAGCTTCTAGTCTGGGGTCTGCACAGGTGCAGTTCCAGAAGCCACCGTTGAGGGGAGCTCTTGACTAATGGGTTCACCAGGCTGGGCCACCAGGGCATCTCCAGTCCCTGGTGAGGGGTTGGAGTGGGCATAGTAAGGGGGCTGTTCACAATGTCCCAGGTGCCCTGTGGACAAAGTGCTTGCCTTGTTCTTTCCCCCAAGCAGAGGTCCTGAAGGCAAATTCCAGGGCCAACACACGGTCCTGCTGGGTGGGCCCCGGAGGGCTGGCACCCCAGAGGCACTCAGCCACATGTAGCCTCTGCTCATTCCCAGCCATGCCCAGCCTGGTGGCCAGCACCAGAGCAGTCCTGTGGGTCCTCATGTTTCTGGGTTTCAAGTCTTCAGGTGGACCTGGCCACACAGGAAGTAAATGAACACCTCTGTGTGCCTTAGGTTCATGTCCTGAGGTTTCGGGTGGGGCATTCAGTGATTGGGATGGGCCACACTCTTCTCTGCCCCTGTCCTGAGTCTCTGGGTGCCCTCCTCCCGTATCAGAACTCTGCTGCATAACAAACTGCGGTCAGCGACCTGAAATGACACGTCGGTGCTGGTGGGGTGTCCTGCGGGTCATGCTGTCCTTGCTGAGGTCCTCAGGGGCCAGATCATAGTTTGGAAGGGCTGAGGGCAGCTGAGGCTGGGTCCTATTCCTGCTACTGCTCCTGTGGCTGCAGGGCTGAGCCGTATCCTGGCTGGGCTCTCCCTGAGCT